AGAAGACTGAAGCAAAGAAGGTGTTGAGTAATTCTGCCTTTTCTCTGAGAAAAGGCCTGGAGGAAATGCTCTGCCCACACCAGATTTAGCATGCTGGAGTGCAAGAACTGCAAGTTTCAGCTTTGCCTTTTGGGAAGCTGACAGCATATTTGGAAGAAGACAGAGGAAACGATGGAGAGCACCTCCCCTCTCAATACCAGCCCTACGGCAGAGACAGTTGGTTGAATGTCCAGCAGTACCAGGACAGCATTTGAGGTTCTTATGCCTTGAGGCCTATATAAGTTGTGCAACAACTGCATTTGGCTTAAGGCCCTGTGAGCAGGAAACCTGCTGAAGTCCTGTTCTACACTGGAGCAGCTAAATGCCTGCAAGTGCTGCTCTTTCCCCACTTGCCTCACCTGAAAGAGGACCCTTTCAGCTCCAGAGCACCAGAGGATCTCATTTGGGGGTCAAGCATTTTGTGGGCTTATCCTCAGGGTACTCAAGAACTCACTTTACTATGTATGAAAGTCACCAAGGTCCCAGGCACTGTAATGCTGGTTTTTAATGTCCCTCAGAACTAGGAAAACAAAATCAAAAATAGACTTTTCCTTTGCTCTTTTTGATAAAAGTAATAAAATGGTTAGCACTGTTAAATTAAACCCTTTAAAAAAAAACCTCCAAGAAAGCCTGGAGCTTCAGATAAAAACCATGACGACTACAAAATGGCAGCCAAGACCTCTGTACACACAGACACACAAAGGAACTCCTCTGCTCTGCGGTTTACAGGAAAGAGCTTCAGTGAAAACACGCAACTGGTACACCAGGGGAAGAGCCAGGACAAGGCAGCAGAATGGCCTGGAGAGAGCAGGGCGGCCGATACACACAGACATGTATTTACACAACAGACACACAGCGGGACCACTGCCATGCAGACCACCATAGGCTTCCTTCCTTCCTGTGGCGATGCTGGGCTGTGGGGGGCATTCCTGCTTCAGGCGGCCTGGCTAGGTGGGCCCATCTTGCTGCTGTCCATAGTTCCTGCTGCAGCCGGAAATGGCTCTTGCTGGGAGTGGCAATGACACTGGGGAGGGAAGCAGTAGGCACCACCATGGTCATCCTACAGATGTCCAGGCCAGCAGTCTGTCCAGCTGGCCAGGGCAGCATGCCTGCCTGCCCCCTGCAAGTGTCTGCAAATTTGGAGGGGAAGGGAGATGCTGCCGGACAAACCACCCACTTCAGTGTTTCAGGGTCAGATGTTTCCCCCCACCACAAACCACTGTAGAGCAGGGCCTCTCCCCATTGACCATTAGTCTAGTCAGTTCACTGTTGCTTAGTTGGGGGTTGTCTCGCCACTGGTGCTCTGCTCCTTAACTGTCTCTCGGTCTTTGTCCGAGGCTGAAGAGGAGGAAGATGACAAAGAGGAGGCGGCAGCAGTGGTTGAGGCGGTCAGGGTCCGTCCCGAGTGCTTGTATGCGGTGACCAGCTCCTGCACCCGCTCCGGTGTGGGCTCCCACTTCGCAAAGCCAGCATCATTTTGCAGGAAAAGGACAACGGTGTTGTGCACAGCTTTGTAGTACATCTCCTCCCTGAAAAGGAAAGCAAAGGCTCGAGAGTTGCCCCAAGCTCTGGAGGGGTGTATCATCATCCCCCTCCCTGCCCCAGCTGTATTGGCTACAGCAGCAATTCCACAGGAAAGGGTATGGCTCACACTCTGAAAGAGGTGAGTATGAAAATAAGTGTGGTGTGGAGAAAACAGGTGAAGAAGGAATCTTCTTACTCTTCCATAAATATATAGTGAGTTTGCCCTCTGCCAGCAGGCAGGTGCATTTTGATGCCCCTGTCAGCATCATGGCCAAACGTTATCAGCTATCCAATGCACAGAAAGGCTTAATTTGTATTACCAATCTTGTTTAATCCTTTTTTAGTTTATCTCTGGCAGTCTGAGGTGGCAAATGGACTGGGGGAGTAAATTTTCCTCTTTTGCTAACCTATTTGCACAGTTCTCCTATCTAATGGAGTGGGGACATGGGTCACATGTGCGCACTTTGGTTATTGCGTTTGTGCTGCATAACCTTTGGCAGTCTACCTTCCATCAGGCTCCCATGGAAAGAGAGGCATCCAAGCCAAGTGCCCCAAATAGCCAGTGATGGGGAACTGGATTACCAACCAAGGATGTTCTGGGTAGAATTAGTTGTTCATGGTAGTATTTGGCTGTGAGGGGATGCTGGACTCTGCCAGCAAAAGGGCTGGGATACTTCCCTGCTACAGAACACCTGCTACATTATTACCACCAATAAAGCTTCTCCTGTGCCAGAAAGGTGTGCCAGTGTTCAGCACCAACTGAATTCTTGGGGAGGCCTGGAACTGTGCCCAGTTCCACAAGAGAAACAAGTGAAGTCCAACAGTGGGAGGCTGAAACCAACAGAAGGAAGACTTCTTCACAAAACACCCAGTTAAACTGTCGAGTGTGCTCACAT